CAACCGCTCAATCAGACAATCTGGAAAGAAACTGACAGCACGAACGCCACTGACATCGATTAGCCGCCATTTCTTGCAACGTCTCCAGCCAAGCACAGACGGGGTCACGGGGACCCCATCCTGGAAGTCGCACAACACCCAAACTCTTCGTGATCTCTTTCACGCCTTTCTGCCAAGTCATGTGCTGTTGTAGTATACGGTGTGTCATTTTGATCGAATCATATGTAAGTATTGGTGATGTACAACCTTGCTTACATAATTGACGACCCTGCCAGGATGGTTACCACACACAGAGTAGACCTACCACATAGATCCTGGCTCTACATATGTGCATACAGGCCTCAGAGCTAGAACGTTGCTCACTCACACACGGTAGACGCAGCCCCAGATACAGCAACCCCTGCACACGCTCACCAGCTTAACGCACCACACCACTAGCACCGGCCGGTTCACGTAGGCCATGGTACACCGGGGACAGTGTTCTTCAAAAAGGAGGCCAATGTAGTATACGGTGTCTGTCATTTTGATTGAATCATGTGTAAGTATTGGTAATGTACAACCTTGCTTACTGGGCCTTGGCTCATGAGCTTTATTTCTGTTTTCCATCCACAGAAATTGTCGTGAACACCTGCCTTCGGAGAATCACTGTCCCCTGGTGCTTCCATAGCGTGACCTCGCGGTTTGCGCCATCGTGAAGGAGGCACGGAGAACAACACTGGTCTCGGTAGACGGTGTTTCGGCATGCGTAGCACATGACCGAGCCATCGCAGTCGATGATGCTGGATGTTTTCCCGGATTGAGGTGCCTGCAGTACAACCAGAAACCCGTTTTCTAATCGCCTTAGTACTGACACGCTCACGCCATCCACAACCAGCCACGCTTCTGAGGCATCGGTGGTCGAAAACCTGAAGACGCTTCACATCATCTACCCGCAGAGGCCATGTTTCGCACCCATACAACAACACAGTCCTTACTGTAGCCTGGTACACACGACCCTTAAGACCCAGTGAGATGTCCTTTTGACGCCACAAAAAATTGCTTACAACCATGACATACGCAATTTCACACACCACGGCTATTGTATCAACTCTGGCGGCAATGTGTCTGATGGAGTCAGTGCACGGATCCTAAGGGCTTCAATGATGTGAGCTGTGTTTCGGTCATGTGGTGTGCGTGCCAAAACATAGTTCATCGAGACAAAAGTTGTTGTCCGTCCCTCCTTCAGAGCAAACTGCTAAGTGGACAACGCATGACTTAAGTCATGCCAATTGGCAGAAGGGTGTGAAATTACTAAGTTTAGGTGTTGTTGAGTGGTATCGCTGGGATCCTCAGTGCAACTGGCTGGATAAAAGGCAATAAATCGGGGTTAATCGATGGGCGGGATGGAATCCTGTAAAGTCGTTGGTTCGCGAATAAACACATTGGTAGAATATGCGGCAGAGAGCGATTATGCATATGCAGGTTCAAGGGTGAAAACGATACGAGAAACACAGCCGAGAAAGCGATAGTATCAAACTGCATCTTAGAAAACTTACAAAATATCTGACGGTGGACGCCATTCTGACAAAGGGAGCGAAGTGGCGAGTCTTCAGACAAGATGTCACAAGGTCGAAAGCCCAGGCACTTCTCTAGGTCAAGTTCACATTCTGCACGTTCGATTGGTTCGCTGAATTCGCGGATTTCGGTGTAGCGAGGGATGTCAGGAAGTCAGCGGTATTCGACGTTCGAGAGGATGTAGCGACGACACACGTCAGTTCTGAAATGTGCAGATATACGGACTGGTATTAATGAATCCACACAGTATATACAGCACACATGCGCCCAGGTCGGGTGGTACAGGGAAGAAGACCGGAGTGTAGCAACAACGCACGTGTATTAACCCGAACCGAAACCGGAAGATAGGGGTGCGTACAAAAGGGGGTCGCTCAAGGTCAGTCAGAAGGGTTGAACAAGCGGCTATTCTTTCCTGTCCGGGGTTCGTGGTGGCTCGACCATGGAACCTGCAATAGGGAACACGGATTCACGGATTGATACACAGGCTCGACCATGAACCTGCAATAGGGAACACGGATTCACGGATTGATACACAGGATCGAGGCTTGTGTCCAAGTTTCCCGGGTCGGTTTTGTTTTTGTCGGTCAGTGGCTGTCGTTCACCTGAAAGGCACAAGTGAAAAAAGGGTGTAGCACTGCTCTTTATGTTCTCAGCGCGGGGCAGTATGCTCGCCAGCGCGAGGATTCGCATAAATAAATGTCTAATAGTGCTTTAAATTGGGTTCTAGAAGGAGCGTGAACAATCGCTGGAAGAAGGTCATTCCACGCAGCTACTGCCCGAAATGAGTAAAAAGTTTTGTCTAATGAATGTGTGCGCCCTGAGCTTGAAGATTTTCTTACTATGTCCCCGCCGGGTGTTTGCTGGGTCAACGGTAAAA